TAGGTAGAGGCTGAGTTTGGCTTTTATTGTCTCTGTTACCTGGCTAGACACAGTAAATTTTCAACATGTGTTCCTTGCATTTCTCTATCATGGAAGAGAATTAATAATGTGCATGTATTGATTTTTTATTTGTATAGCTGTTGAAACAAAGGGGCTGAAGTAAAGAATCCAGGATTCTATTTGACCAATCAGTTTATATTTGTTAAGAAATTAATACATAGCCACCTCTGTGGGGATCTGGAGAAGGGCTGTCAGAAACGGAGTGACCTTTCTTCAGGTACTTACAGAAGAGATGGGCTGACCAAACGTACACACAACAATCAGGGCAGTGGGGTGAGATGCTATAGCTTTGATTGCTTTCATTTCCTTTTCTGTGTTAACTGGCATTACAAAATTATTGGAATCTTCCATAGAAATAAAGATCTAGCACAAAGGTTGGGACGACTAGCTATGTATCCAATTACCTGTGAATTTCTAAAAATTTAGGTGGACCGGCTCCACTCTTGATGAAATAAATCAGAATCTCCCTGAATAAGTGCTACAGATGAAATATTTGAGCACCCTTCCAAAATTCATACATTGAAGCCCTGACTCCTAACATGATGGTATTTGGAGATGAGATCTCTGGAAGTAGATGAGGTAATGAGGGTGAGGTCCTCATTATGGAATTAGTGCCCTTATAAGAAGAGACACCAGAGAGCTTGCTGTCACTGTCTGTGCTCTCATGAAGAAGAGGTCATGTGAGTCCATAGCGGGAAGGAGGCCATCTGTACTTCAAGGGGAGTGTTCTCACCAGAACCCAACCACGAAGCATCCTGGTCCTGAATCCCCAGCCTCCAGAACTATAAGAATGTAAATGTTCTTTCAGCCACCCGGTCTGTGGTGTTTCGTCGTGGCAGCCTGAGCTGACTAAGACAGTGAGCCTTGAACTTTGTGATGAACTGAGTTCCTAGTCTTCCTGCTTCTACTTAAACTATTTTTATGAGACAATAATTAAATTTTTCAAAATTTCCCTCATTGTCTCATTTTTCATTGTTTACCAACCACTCAGCTGTAGTCACTGCCTTAGTAGGAGAGTGAATATAGACCAGGAAAAAAAAACAGACTTAATCACGTTGTGGGTTAAACTGTGACCCACTGGGGGGAAAAAAAAGGAGAGATACTGAAGTTCTAATGTCCAGGACTTCAGAATGCAACCTTATTTTGGGACAGGGTCTTTACAGAGCTAATGAAGTTAAAATGAGGTCAGTAAGGTGGGCCTTAGTCTACATGACTCATATCCTTCTAGAAAGAGGAAATCTGGACACAGAAACATAGGGAAAACACCATCGGAAAATGGAATTATGCTCTCCCAAGCCAAGGAACACCAAAGATTTCCAGCAAACCACCAGGAACTAGGAGAG